CTTTTTCCCTCCATGCCCTTGTAAATAACCCTAAATGGTCTGAAATAAGGATGGAGACAGATACAACTTAGACTCTCCAAAGCTCTCATTTCTCTGATTTCTCACTTCACTGTCCTTTAGTGCCCTTCTTGCAGTCACATTCTGTGCTCTCAATATCATGCCTAGACCCTCTCCGCCTCTTGCTAGCACTCCAGGAAATTCATCTCACAGCCCTGTCCTCTCCCTAGCTCTCCCCCGTACTGTGTAGCCCGAGGCCAAGTGGACTTAATGAACGCACACTCCACTTTCCCGATCCCCAGACTCTTCTAGGCCGGTCTCTGTGTATTACCTAACCCATTTTCCCACATCTGACAGGGGTAGTAAGGATGACTTGCCCAGGGATAAAGGCTCCTGGGGAAGGCTGTTGCTGCTGTTGCCCCTTCCCATAAAGAAACGTTACCCCAGGAGACATAGAACAGGGCTGGTAAACAAACAGGGAGAAATAATTCAGAAGTGACCAGATATACAGTCGTGAGAGTGAATTTAATTTTAAATTTGGTCTTGGGATAGACGAATGGTAGGCACCCAGGAATGATAGCTAACACTTATATAGTCCTATGTCCCAGGCAGTGTGCTAAGCGCTCTCTAATTATTATCTCATTTGCTCCTCAAGACAACTCTGAGAAGTAGGTGCTCTTATTATCCCCATTTCACAGATGAGGAAACTGAGGCAGACAGAACTTAAATGACTTCTCTAGGATCACGCAGCTAGTAATCGTCTAAGGCTGGATTTGAATTCAGGTCTTCCTGACTCTATATGCAGTGCTCTAAGAGGCAGTTAGGTGGAGCAGAGGATAAAACCCTAGACCTAGGTTCAGGAAGACTGAGATCAAATCCAGCCTCAGATGTTTACTAGCTGTATGACCAGACTCGGATTCAGAAAGACCTAATTTCAAATTCGCCCTGAGACATTAGTAGGAGTGAGACTCTGGGAAAGTCATTTCACCTCTATCTACTTCGATTTTCTCCACTGCAAAATGGAAATAATAAAAAATAATATCTGCTATTCAAGGTTATTATGAGGATAAAATGAGATAATATTTGTAAAGTACTTTGCTCTGTATGTTGGCATAGGCTGGCCCTTTGCTTGGAATGCATTCCCTGGACACTTTGATCTTTACTAGAATTCTTAGCCTTCATTCAAGGCTCAGCCTAGGTGTTCACCTGCTATGTGAACATGTCCTCTGTTAGCACCCTGACTCTCTTCAGGTCACCTTGCACCTACTTACTTGGACATATTTGTGTCACCTTAATAGAAAGTAAACTCCTTAAAGGAGGTTGGGAATCAGGTTCCAGAGGTCTGTTTCGTTGATACAGAAAAAGTGTGAAGAGAATTACAGTACAGAAGTTTGGAGAGGTAAGTAGGGTCTACAGACTTCTGGCCCCTCCAAGAATGAGGAAGAACTCAGAATAGTATGCTTCGCATTTAGCCCTTGCTTGCTTGATGACCTAGAATCAATATTGTCCAGCCTTGGGGAGGGGGCAGAATTGCTATGCCCTGAGACCTCTAGAACCTTGTAGCAGGCACAGCTGTCCCCCAGGGACACATAGAAAGGAGGGGCTGTTTTGTTTGTGTCTTTGTGAGCATCCCCAGAACCCAGCACGGTGCCTGGCACATGGTAGGTGCTTAATCAATGTTGATTGATTGATTGATTGATTAGATTAGGTTGAATCCTGAGAGCTACAGAGATGATCTACTGTTACTATTAGTTGTTCAGGTGATGTGCTTATTGGTCTGGGAGCCCCTGAAAATAACCCTCTGTTAATGAAATAACTTTGTCGATTTATAGATGAGCCACAGTCTTAAAGGGATGCCACAGACCCTTAGAGAAGAGAGATAATGGGGCATCTTTTTTTAAGTGTTAATTTCTGTCAGGTCACCTTACTCTTATACTTACTAAGATCTTTAATTTAAAGCCAGAAGGGATCTTAGAGGTAATCTAGTCTAACCCCCTTATTTTACAGATGAGGAAACTGAGGCCCAGAGGTGAAGTGATTTGCCCCGGATCACACAAATTGTAAGTTGCAGATCTGGGAATCAAACCCATTGGCTTTGACTCCAAATCCAGCATTCTATGCATAGTTTTTAAATTTCCAAAACATGGCACAGTTGTCTTATTGGGTTCATTTTGCTAGGTGACTTTTTTTTTTTTGGTAATCTCTGCAGCACATGCTTTGTAACTAAATGGAGTCCCTCACTGGGGCCTTTCTGTTTCTTTACCTACCCATTTTCAGCCTCAGAGGCTGAATGAGGCAAAGTAGATTAAAATGCAAACAAGGTTAAAATGCAAATGAATGGCCAACCCGCAGAAGCACACGGAATTACATGACCTAATCACAAACCCGCTATTTAAAAGAATTTCTCTTTTTGTTCTCCTTAAAACTGAATGAAAAAGCACCTGGAGAAACTGGGTGGTTCGTCCTATTTAGGAAGTGTGAATTTATGCAATAGCTATTCAGTTCTTGCTCAGAGGAAGCTGAGTATTCTTCTGGCTTAATAAGATTTTCAGCAAGGTAGGTTTAAAATAGCTGGAAAGGTCTTGCCCCTTCCAAGGGGGTCAGTGGAAGCCTGGTGTGGTAGGTCCTAAAGGGAGATGGAACCTATTTCTTGCATGTAAAACCGGTGGATGTCTGACTGACCACCTGCAGTTGAGGGTTTCTGTGCTGTCCACAGTCCATGGTCCTGAGTCTCTAGGGTCAGAAGTAGCAAGAAGTAAGTGATAGGCAAACTTTAGCTGGGGGAGTATTGGATGTGGAGGCAGGAAGACCTGGGTTCAAATCTCTGTTGATGACCGTGGGCAAGTTGGCTAAACTCTCTAAGCCCCAGGTTTCTCCTCTGTAAAGTGGGAATGGGGTTAATGATCCCTGCAGAACCTACTTCATGGGATTGTTGTGAAACTCAGAAGAGACACTGTGTATATATAAAATGCTTTGTAAATCTTAAGGAGCTTTCTTCCTCTCCCTCCCTCTACCTCTCTCTGTCTCTGTCTGCCTCTGTCTCTCTCTCCCTTTCTCTCCCCCTCTGTCTCCCTCTTTCTTTCTCCATTTCCCTTTTTCTGTCTTTCTCCCTCCCTCTCCCCCTTCCTTTGTCTCTCTCTTCTTTTCCTTATCTCTTTCCCTTCTCCTTTTCTCTCTCTCTCTCTCTCTCTCTCTCTCTCTCTCTCTCTCTCTCTCTCTCTCTCTCTCTCTCTCCCTTCCCTTTCCCTTTCTTTCTTTTCCCCCTCTCTCTATATAGATATCTCTATATAGATAGATATGTATACACACATGTATGTATATATGTACATATACACACACATATGTATGTATAATAATTGTGTGGGGTTTTTTTTTGGAGGGGGTGGTGAGGACAGAATCCAGACTCTATTTTCATCAGTTTAGGGAACACTCAGTGTGGAAACTTCCTGCACTAATGCACATAGGCAACTTCTCTATAATCTGTAGCTTTAGGAAGTTGTCCAGGATACTGAGCTCTCATACAAGAATGGACTTGAAATGTCATCTTGTCCAGTTCATGTATTTAGTGAAGTAATGTGGTCACAAAGCTCGTCAGGATCTGAGCCGGGTCTTCCAAATGCCAAGTCCAGCCCTCTCTCTACTGGCCCATACTACCTCTCTATGTTATTTCTAAAGCCTCTTTCAACATCCAGTCCTTTGATGGTTACTGATCTTGGAACAGGTCCGAGCTGGAGCCATATTGGGAAATCCTGTTCTATGGCACCTAAGCTAGGCTGGCCTTCTTATCTACTGTTCTTCACATGTATCTCTCAATCTTCCATCCATCTCTTCACATTTTCACAGGCTGTCTGCCTCCCATGCCTGGAATACACTCCCCTCTCACTTCCACCTATTATAATCCTTAATTTAAGCTTCACCTTCTATTTGAGACCTGTTTGGTGCCCCAGCTGCTAGCATCTGTCCCCCCAAATTATCTTCTATTTATGTATGTATTTTGCATAATATGCATATATATGCATGTGTTGTCTTCTCTGATACTATGTAAGCTCCTAGAGGACAGGCGTCATTTCCTTTTGATTTGTGTACCCCCAGAGCCCAGCCCAGTGTCTAGGATACTCCCTCCTCATGTCCACCTCATGGCTTTTCTGGCTTCTTTTAAGACACAGCTAAAACACCGTCTTCTGGAAGAAGCCTGTCCTGATCCCCCTTCATACTGCTCGTTGTTGAGTCATTTCAGTTGTGTCTGACTTTTTGTGATCACATTTGGGGTTTTCTTCGCAAAGATACTGGAGTAGTTTGCCATTTATTTCTCCAGCTCATTTGACAGTTGAGGAAACGGAGGCAAACAGGGATTACATGACTTGCTGAGAGTCACATGGCTAGTAAAGGTCTGAGGCCAGATTTGAACACAGGAAGATGAGACTTCTTGATTCCATGCCTGATGTTCTATCCACGGTGCCACCTAACTGCCCCTTCATGCTAGGGCCTTCTCTCTAGTCATTGTCTTCATTGTATCCCCTAAGTAGCTTGTTTGTATGTAGCTGTTTTTGTGATTTCTCTCTCATTAGATTGTGATTTCCTGGAGAACAGAGACAATCTTTTGCCTTTCTTCATATCACAGTACTGTTGCCCAGTGCCTAGTATCTAGTAGGCACTTAATAAATGCTTAATGTCTGATCAGGGGACTAATTTTTGGTTGATTGCAGGCTTCATGGTGGTGACATTACATTATGATTCTTTAGTCTCGTGTTTTTCTCTGGAAGCAGAACATTGTTATGACTCTGAGATGTCTGAAGAAGACTAATGGGAACTTGTAGGAGATGCTAATGGATTGTTATTGATGATTTTTTTAAACCTATCTACCCAGCCTTATTTGGGTGAGGAGGTGGGGGATTCCTTGTGATTTTTAGTGTGACTAAGGAGGCAAGGTTAGTGTTCTGCCGAGCACCCCTTCTCCTGCGTTCACACACCTCCTTGTTTCCTCTTGCCCATGTAATGTGCAGGTCAGCCGGAGCGAGATGAAGGTCTGTATCCAGCAGGAATTTGACAAGGTTCGGCAGCAGGTCTGTGAGGAGGAGCGGAAGGCCCTTCACCTGGTAGACCTCCAGGAAGCCGTGGCCACAGCCCACATGACGGAGGTCCTGGCTGAAATCCACGTCCACATGGAAAAGTTGATGGCAGAGATGGCTGAGATCAGACACCAGCTCGATGCCTTCAATGAGCTGGCTTCGATGAAACCAGAGGTAATGGGAAGGAGAGTGTCCAGATGGCGAGTAGCATGGGGCCTGAGGGAGAAAACTTGGCTTATGACACCTACTTAGGGACCCTGAGAGGATAATTCTTTTGTCAGGATTGAAACACATCTCCATAGCAGAAAGCTAAAAGGCCTCTTAAGCATACTCTGCCCACATAAGCATGTAGAAATTATATGATCCCAGAATCACAAATCATAGAAATTCAGGCGGAGGAAGGGACCTTGGAGGCCATCTAAGACATTTGTATCTGGGCAAGAGATCCATCTACTATATCCCCAGTCTTTACTCTACTCTCATACTACTATATCATCCAGTCTTTGCTTGAAGGCTTCCATGGATGAAGCCACTACCTCCTGGGTATGTTTTTGGATATTTTTCCAACCAGGAAACCCAAATCCTTAGCATGTTTCAGCCTCCCCCTCCCCCTTCTTGTGATGGATGGATCTTAGAAATGATGGGAGAAGCTGCATCTTGTGAAATTTCACGGCCGCAAGGTGAAAGTCTGTGCCAGCTGAGGCCAGGAGGGCATCTTGGGTTCTTCTGGTGGCACCTACAAAGGCACCGTGGAGATATTAGTGCTGAGGACGGATCAGCACATAACTATCACGTCTTTCAGGGCAACTAGCTGTAGAGTAATGCAGTAGTGGGAAGTCAGAGCGAGAGGATGAAACTGGTACCTAGGAGTCAGATGTCCTCTAAATGATCCTGACAGAAAGGATGGCTCGGTTGATTGACGAGTAATCCGCCTAGAGCTATAGTCATTCTTAATGACATGAGGTGGTATGAGGACAATGGGAAGGGTCCTTGATTTGGAATCCGAGAGCCTGGTGCTCCCACCACACAAGGTCACTGTGTCATCTTGGGCAAGTCACTGTATTTCTCTATGCCTCAGTTTCCTCATCTATAAAATGGGGATGATAATAATAGCCCTTATTTCGAAGAGTTGTGAGGATCAAGTGAGCTGGTGTTTATAAAGAGCTTAGTGCAGTAAGGAGCACATAGTAGACTCTATATAAATGCTAGTTATGATGATGAAGATGAAGGTGTCGCTGAGAGAGTGCTTTTCCTAAAGCCTCATTGATGTAAAGTGGCCTTTAAGAGTCACATAATTAGTATCTGAGGCTGGACTTGAACTCAGGTCTGACTGCTCTATGACAGAGACTTCCAGCATGCACCTGAGAGGGGGAGCCAGAATCAGCTTAAAATGTAATTGGGAAATATTTAGAAAATAGATAAAAATGCAACACAACATAGATAACGTTCGTATGTGGTTTTCTATGTCACTGTGCCTTGGGCAGGGCTCCTTACGCGTGGTTTAGTGGCCTGCTTTCCCTGAGTTTGACTCCCCTGCTCTAGGCCTTTGCCTCACAGTAGAGTGATGGTGAAGTTGATTTTTTTTTAATCTTTTTTTTTTTTGGCTAGGCAATGGGGTAAAATAACTTGCCCAGGGTCACACAGCTACCAAGCATTATGTGTCTGAGGCCAGATTTGAACTCAGGTCCTCCTGATTCCAGGGCCAGTGGTCTATCCACCCAGCTGCACCACCTAGCTGCCCCTGAATTTGTTTTAAAAATGAAGCTTCAAGTTATAGCTTAGGGATCGGGAACCCCGGGTTCTAGTTCTAGTTGTAGCTCTCTCTCTCAGTGTCTTCTTTTTTATTTTTTATTTTTAGGCTAGGCAATGGGGCTAAGTGACTTGCCCAGGGTCACACAGCTAGTAAGTGTTATGTGTCTGAGGCCGGATTTGAACTCAAGACCTCCTGAATCCAGGGCCAGGGCTCTATCCACTACACCACCTAGCTGCCCCCTTTCACTGTCTTCTTCAAGCTAGCAAGTCATCACCACCACCCCCTCCGGCCCTTCTCTATACCTGTTTCCACATCTAAAAAAAGAGGGGGTTTGCATGAAGTGACTTTATTTTCTCATAGATTTAGAGCTGGAAAGGGTCTTTAAGAATGTCATTTAATTTTACCTTCTCCTTACATGTAAGAAGAAACTGAGGGCCAGAGGGGCCCAGGGCTCTGCCCAAGGTTGCCCCTTCTGCCCTCTAAGATTCTGTGATTCCCGTAGATATTCAGTTTTTTTCTTTAGTCACCCTCCCTAACATTAGCCAGCCATTTAGGGTCTCCCCATTGCTTGTTAACCCAGTTTGAATTGCTCTTAGCCAGGGAGGGGTAAGACAGTCCTCAGGAGCCTGCTATGCATAAAATAAGCTATTAACAACAATAAGTAGCTCAGCTGGCAAAAGCCACCTCGATAAACTGTTGTCTAATGGCTTCCCGTTCCAGCTAATCTGGCAACTCATTGGTCAGAGCACATTTCCTCCGTGTCTCGTGTACTCAACGCAGAAATCCAACAAAGACTCAAAATGGGCTGGTTAATTCCATTCTTCCAGGGAATCTTCGTCCTCGTTTTCCTATAGCATCATATAGGATTTAAAAATTATTGCCAGTATTGTGAATTCCATTAAAAGGGTGTGTGTGTGTGTGTGTGTGTGTGTGTGTAAGTGTATGTGTATAAGTGTATATGTGTGTGTTTATGTGTGAATGCGTGTATATATGTATGTGTATGTGTGCACATGCATGTGTGTATTGTGTGATTGTATGTATAAGTGTATGTGTATGTGTAAGTGTATGTGTATGTATATGTGTAAGTATATGTATGTATATGTATGTGTGTATGTGTAAGTGTATGTGTGTATATGTGTGTATATGTGTATGTCCATGATTGTATGTATGTGTATATATGTGTATGTGTATGTGTATATATGCAAGCATATGTGTGTTTATGTGTGAATGTGTCTATATATGTGTATATGTGTATATGTGTGTATATGTATGTGTGTATTGTGTGAGTGTATGTATGTGTGTTTATGTATGTGTATATGTGTGAATGTGTGTGTATGTGTAAGTATATGTGTGTGATTGTATGTATATGTATGTGTATGTGTAAGTGTATGCGTATGTGTTAGTATATGCGTGTGTGTGTATATGGGTGCATGGCTGTAAAGGACAAATATGCATATATACTTAAGTATATGTTATGCATAACTTATAAGTATTAGAGTATCACAAGACACATTAGTATAATTATAATATGTGCAAGGATTCATAACCTTGGATCCATGAACTTGTTATTTTAAATATCTTGATAACGGTATTCAAGTGTAATTTATAGTTTCCTTTGTAATCTTATGTATGTTATTTTATTCATTTAAAAATCTTCTGAGAAGGGGTCCATAGGCTTCCCCAGCCTGCCAAAGGTGTCCAGGATGCACAGAAAAATTAAGAAACCCTGTATTATATGCTGGGGAAGCTAGGTGGCACAGCAGAGAGATCATCACGCTTGGAGTTAGGAAGACCTAAGTTCAAATTTGACCTCAGACACTTACTTGCTGTGTGACCCTGGGCAAGTTCGCCTCAGTTTCCTCATCTGTCAAATGAGCCGGAGAAGGAAATGGCAAACCACTCCAGTAGCTCTGCCAAGAAAACCCCGAACAGGGTCTGAGAGAGTAGGACACAGTTGAAAACAACTGAACAGTAACAACATTATATGCTGTTATTACGTTGTTACAAGAGGGCAGGGCTGCGCAGGAGCTAGAAAGCTGTCTGTGCCATTACTAAGACCTGGATTCTGCTGACATGCATCCTGGCTGTGTGAGCCTGGACAAATCACTTAACTTGCTAGTGCCCCAGGGTACTGTCTACACCTATAAATTGTAGAGCAGATGTTAACCTGCCCTGGGTTCCTCACCTAGAGGTTAAAGCCCAGTGAAATTAGAGGCCCTATTCAAACATACACACACACATGCACGCACGCACGCACACGCACTCATGCATGCACGCGCATGTGTGTGTGTATGCGTGTGTGTGTATTTATTCCCCTTCATACTCTCTCTTTAGAGAGGCATTGGAGCCAGGCAGACCTGTTTTGGAGTCCTGCCTCTGACACTTTGGGCTGATCCTGAGGAAGTCATTTACCATCTCCATGGCCCAAACAATTTCCAGTGACTCTAAGTGGCAGAGAAGTTGCTGAGGCCTGACCAGGGCAGGGCACGGTGGGATCATCACCTCTCTGTTCCTGAAGCTGCACCTTCTCATGCAGCCCGAAATTGCATTAATTTTTCTGGCTGCTAAGCTGCTGACTCGTGTTGAACTTGTAGAACACTACAACCCTGAGATCTTTTTCAGACGACAACAAAAACCACTGTCTATATGTGCGTCTTCTACCTTATATTTGTCCCTATTGAATGTGAGCTCATTAGACTTGGCCCAATGCTAACTTGTCAAGATCCTTCTGGATCTTGACTGTCATCCAGTGTGTCATCTGTAGATTTGACAAGCACACCGTCCACACCCTTATCTCAGACAGCCCAGAGCCAAGCACAGATCCCCTAGCTCTGAACCATTAATAACTGCTCTTTGGGTAGGGCTAAATTCTGGACTTATCTGACTCTAGCATCATGGGATCCATATTTCTGCATCATCTGTGCAAGAATAGTGCTAAAGATACAAAGACAAAAGAGCAACAGATCCTGCCCCCAAAGAGCTTAGATTCAGAGCAATCAATACTAAAATACACTTGTATGGGAAGAAAGGAACACGCATTTATTAGGCACTTATTATTTACCAGTATTATCTCCTTTGATCTTCACAACAATCCTGGGAGGTACGTGCTATGCTATTATTATCTCCATTTCATAACTAGAGAAACAGACAGAGGTGAAATGACTTTTCCAAGGTCACACAGCTAGTAAGTATCTGAGTCCAGATTTGAACTCAGGTCTTGCTGACTCTAGGCCCAGTACTCTATGTCCTATGCTACCTAGTGATAGCTGCCTAGTAGAAGGACTGACCTGTGATTTCAGTTGTTTAGGAAAAGACTGGGTAAAGAAATTCTCTCTACTAACACAGGTCAACACCTTCTCTGCAACTTATAATCTTAGAGAGTCAACTAGAGAACCAAGAGGTTAAGTGATTTAGCACAGTT